GGAATAAGTCATAAATAACTAATCTTCATTGTGAATGTAAAAAACGATCTACATATGGTACACTGTGTCTTGGACAATAATCCCATAAACAAATAGGGAATGGGAATGCTCCCCAAGCAAAAATAGGTCAACCAAGCAAAGGGATTCTGGTCGCTGGCCCGACTGACTGTTTGGGTCATTAAGAATCTAGAAACAGCACCACCCATTTATTTCAGGGGAACAGATCAGAAATCAATGGCGTGACAGGAATAATCACCCCATCTTGAGAAGTAATGTCTATCACCGCATGAAAGGGACTAACCACCTCATCTCTGCTCCATTTCCATTGGACAGATAGTAAACCTTCTTCCAGCTTTCCTCTGAAAATGCTTCTCGGCGTACTAGTCTTTGCCTGCCATAGGTGCAGATGGCTCAAAAACTAATGAGCATAGAACCATACTCGTAATAGAACACATTTTGCATTCAGCAGTGTAGCATGGTCATACATAAAAATTTATTTCAGAAGAGAGTGAGGTTATGAATATCAGCACTCATAAAAATGGTGTAATCCTTGCAGATAAATATAGATAATTTAAATCACTGGCTGGATGGACACAAATTGAAAGTTAACTCCATCATTTGCAGCAACTTAATTCAAGATGTTATTTACCCAAAAATAATTTAATTCAGCAGGCATCTCTTGATAATTTTTGAATTCAAAACATTGCAAATATGGGAAAATTACCACAGTCCTCACTACTTAATTATTTCAAGAGCAACAAGAGAGGCACTAAGGAGGAGATGTAATAACCTGGAGATGCTTTTGGCTATACCTTGAACACTCTCACAAGGCAAAACAACTAAGGAGTGAAAAAAGAAGCACTCCTAATACGGTCAACTTCTGCTCTAGCGTTCATCTCAGCAATGAGTGGTTAGATTACTCTGGAGTCATTTGAAGGTCAGTTATATGATTTTGGAAATTGCACTATCGCATGAATCTCATATTTTTGGTACTTTCTCTTCAATAACAACCCCATACAATTCACAAAAAACCAAAAGCAGCAAAAAAAAAAAGAAGAATATTCATCTGAGCAAAAGTAAATAATCAGCTGGCACTACAAGCTTAATTGGAAAGCTGTCATCCCCCATTATGACTAATTAACATCAACATTACTAACCTGGCAATCATGCATTTAAAAAGCCTACCTGAGGTAATAGTGGCAAACGGTGGCTGCTTCATCTAAACTGTAACGCGGAAAGTCAATGCGAGCATCAGTGGGAACATCTGGTAAGTCTTTTCGCAACTTCCCTACTGCAGTTGAATGAGAGAAAGCACCGACCATCATGTCATTATGCATCATAGACCTAAACGCATTAACCTGCAAATGATACACACAAGTAGCCATTATACAATGCTGACTATCAGAAATCAAAAAAGCAAATAACCCAGTCAAAGAGATAAGTGGGAAAAGAAAAGAGTATAAAAAAATAAGAGAATCAGGTAGACAAAAGTAGAAAAAAACAAAGTCTTGTTTTTCCGAGCACCTCTAGCAACTAACAGTAATAGCCTACTTACAGATAGGACTTTTTGTATATCATTCAACTAAAAATTGATTATATCCAAGTTTGCATGATCATGTAGGAAGAGATATAGCTTTGATCAACAGAATGAAATTCACAACAAACGACAGGGTAAGATGCATCGAGGTATTTGGTCTCGGTATAACCCAAGGGCCACAAGAAAAGCAGCAGCAGCTGGAAATGTTGTACACAGTAACATGCACCATTAAGACATCAACAGATGATATTTGAGATGAACATAAGCCTTATCACTGTCAGAAATCTCTGAATCAAGACAAATGAAAAATCAAACAATTTCCCTTTGCTAGTAAGTACACCGTTCAGACAACAGACTTTAAATTGTAGGTTGTTTTCCTAATCCATTCTTCAGACATGTTTCAAAGGACTTGCCAAAAGGGCAAAGGGTGTAAAAAGTATGGATCTCTTCAAAATTTGCTAATTTATGCCAACAGACATTAGCCTTCTTGACAAATCAAAGTCAAAATCGGCTTTTAGGCTCAGTCAGTCCTATGAAAAAAGTTGAATTGTTTTAGTTTCCGACTGCACTTTAATGATTATTGGCATCCTCATGGCAACCATTGCTCTCCAAATTTTTGCTGAAAGGTTTCTTATTTAGCAGTTCTCTTTAACCATTTATAATGCTTGAACCAGAAGCGCACCTGTCTGTATTGGTCATCGAGAAAGAACATCCAATATCATTTCCAACACACTTATTTGATAATAAGCTCATTACCAAAAATTCAGATCATGTTCAAGACCTAGGAAAAAAAATTAATCTCAGATAACCAAAAGTAGAGTAGTAACATTAGGATTTAGGGCTCACCACACAATGGTTTTCAATGGATAAGTGTCAACAGAAAGGTTACATACGCCCATGACCCAGCTACCCACCAACACATGGATTACTACCCTTGACCCAGCTAACCAACAGTACATTCTTTAAGTTTTCAAAACCCATAATTTAATTGTCACATTGATCTCAATCTCAAAGAATCTAATATAAATCATCAGAAAAACATCACGCATACACTACTACTGGAGAAAATATAAAACTCCAACTAACCGTTGCAAGTTCTCTAGCATGAATTGGCCGGCAAGAACGAACAGTTACTGGCTCCTCATACTCACTGAAGGTAAACCAATTATTATACTGTGGAGCGCAGCAACAAAAAATATTAACTACAACCGATGTCACCATATAAATGTAAAATTCATAATTTAGTACCCCAGAACATAATCACTCAAAAGAATAGCCTGAAACATATAATTAGAGTAGACAAAAGTTCTTCGCCTCACTTGATCGATGGCAATAAGGACAGGTATATCTTTTATAAGGGACAACTCTTTCCTCAAACGAACCAACACTCCAACAGAAGCATGTGTAGAAGTGAGTCCTGCCTGAACCAATTCATGGAGTGTTGACCCTTCAGGCATTGCCATTGAATCAACATCCTTCAACCACCCAACACCAGCACCCTCTCCCAAAGGAATAGGATCAAATATTTGGCACGGTAACTCCTTTAAGCGGGATTCATTGTGCTTCAAAAAATCCTGAACAACCAAAAAAAGAAGGTTAAAATGCAGATATGTACTTCCAGAACATCCAATCACAATTCATTATACATGAAAATCATCAGAACCTTGCGTTATCTTTCAGGAAACAATGGGTAATTAGTCATGAAAAAGGATATCTAAATAAGCAGGAAGGATGCCAGAAAAAGAACTCAAATGACATCCTAAGAAGAGAGAGAACCTAGGGCTGGGCGGCAAAACTAGTGATATTTTCCTGTTAATAAATCAAATTAACAAAAAAACTTGTAATAGGAAAGTAGCAACTACCAGCAACATGAAGTCACATGTATAAATATAGGTAAACTTCACTAGAGTTTGTAATGCAGAACCAGTGCCATATTAACCGCTGAAAATTTTGATGTAACAGATTAACTCCATCGGATCTTTTGCCAGATTATTACCGTTCTAACATTTTTTCCTTGTTGGGTCAGGTAATTGGGCAGCCCTAGAAACGCTTCACTGCAGTGAAGGTCAATCTTTGAAGAAAATATGGTACCGCACCACTGACTAAAACAACTTTGACGCATAAAACTATTGCTTAACAACAATTTTAGGTTCTAGTAATAATAATTATTTTGGTTAAGATGAAAGTCATTACTTATTTCAGGGGAATCATAAATAGTATAAATCCGGACAATACATAGCGATAATGGATTTATGCAGTTTCAACCCCTGCTAAAGTACCAACTTTCAGCATTGGATCATCTAACTAGCTGATAGTACATTTGACAAAGGCTCTCTTGTTCACATAATAAGTATTTGACAATGACGAAAAAGAAAGCACCAGAGATCAGGGGAATGAAAAATCTTTGCATCAGATCATATTCAAATCATAAGTGACATCTTGCCTGGAGAACATTTGCTGCCTGCACAGGGGTATCCCACAAGCCAGTTTGGGGGTTTTTATAGAAAAATCCTCCATGGGTCCATTCTCGACCTTTGGGGACATAAAAAACCAGCCAACCTTCATCACGGGCCCAATGCACTAGCATAGCAAGTGCAATACTTTTGCCACAGCTTACAGGGCCATCCAATACAATTTGCTTTCGTACTTTGAGACCTGGAAAGTCAGAATATAATCATTGATCACTTAACTCGAATTTCATCAAGTACAAGCTCACAGTCACCTACAGTGGTCCTGAGAATCTCTCAAGAACAATTAAGTTACAACATTTATGAAACAATGTGTCACATGAAAAACAAGATACAGTATGTCAAATGTTCTCAATGTGCATTGCTGTAACAAGTATATACCAAACCACACATTTCCATTGGGAAATCAAATTAAAGAAATCTAATATAACACTATTGAAAGGTCGCGACATCACCTTTACTACCGGAGGACTGCAACGGAGGATCAACAATGCGCCTGAAATTATCTCTTAAGTCCAAAAAATTCTGCCGAACAAGCAATGCTGTTCGCTTTGACTCCTCGAACTCCTTCAACATTCCCAACGGCAATCCCTCCGGCAACACCGCATTCAATTCCTCCATACTACACCAATACTAGATCAACCACCACCCCACGACAAAGAACAAAAAGACAACATCCACAGTTCCAATAACATAAATATATCTACCTGAATTTCATGTAAGTGCAGGTGTCTTTTCTGGTGAGGTGAGAGAGAGAAGCGGTGGAGGTGAAGAGCGGACGGCCGTTAGGGCCAACGTCGAGGGACTTATTGTTCTCGTCCTCTGCAAGGCGGCGAGCGCGAACGTCCTCGTCCAGGAGGTCGGCGGCGGACTCGTCGACGGCTGCTGAGGTTTCTTCGGTCTTGGATTTGGCATCGGTCTTGGATTTGGTTTTCTTCGCCTTTGTTACAGACGATTTTGAGGTCTTCGAAGAATAGTTTCTTGAACATAATTGCTGGGCGGCTGTGGAAGAGGCTGCGGCAGTGGTGGCGGGGATGAGAATGGTTGGGAGGTGTGATTGAGATTTGGTTGCTGAAACTGCCGTCCGGAGGAGTGATCTCAACATTTGATATCTTCAAGGTTTTGGAAGAATGGCGAAGGGTTTTGGGTGGTGGTGATGGAGGGGGAAAGCTTGCAGTCTGCTGTAGTGTACCACTTGATGAGAGAGCCTAGAGATATTGAAGCCAGTATTCTAAATCCGGCCCGGCCGACGGGTCAATCCGATAAACCGGGCCGATTCTATTAAAAGACCGTTTATGCAATAAACTTGGAATAAATTCATTGAACCAGTTAAAATTCAGTAAATTTGTGAGAATCAGACGAGTTTATCAAATCGGCCGGTTTAATTTAATTTGTATAAATTTGTGTTTTTTTCATCATTTGGGCATGTTCCTCATTTATTTTGCCCTAATTCGTTCCAGACCAGATGACACAGTCACCACTCATCTATTCTNCCACCACCCATCTATTCTGCCTCTCTCTTTCTCTCTCAGTGTAGCTATCGAACTCGAAGCATCTCTCTCAATGTAACTGTCGAATCGAAGCCAACCATTGTCGAACTCGAAGCCTCTTTCTCTTTTNTCACCACTCATCTATTCTGCCTCTCTCTTTCTCTCTCAGTGTAGCTATCGAACTCGAAGCCTCTCTCTTAATGTAACTGTCGAATCGAAGCCAACCATTGTCGAACTCGAAGCCTCTTTCTCTTTTTGTCTCTTTTTCTCAGTGTAGTAGTCGAACTCAAAGCCAGCCATTATCGNAACCGTTTATGTAATAAACTCGGAATAAATTCATTGAACCAGTTAAAATTCAGTAAATTTGTGAGAATCGGACGAGTTTATCAAATCGGCCGGTTTAATTTAATTTGTATAAATTTGTGTTTTTTTCATCATTTGGGCATGTTCCTCATTTATTTTGCCCTAATTCGTTCCAGACCAGATGACACAGTCACCACTCATCTATTCTGCCTCTCTCTTTCTCTCTCAGTGTAGCTATCGAACTCGAAGCCTCTCTCTTAATGTAACTGTCGAATCGAAGCCAACCATTGTCGAACTCGAAGCCTCTTTCTCTTTTTGTCTCTTTTTCTCAGTGTAGTAGTCGAACTCAAAGCCAGCCATTATCGAACTTGAAGCAAGCCACTGTCAAACTCAAAACAAGCAATTGTCGAAGTCGAAACCTTTCTCTCGTAGTATAACTGTCGAACTCGAAGCCTCGAATNTCACTGTCAAACTCAAAACAAGCCACTGTCGAAGTCGAAACCTTTCTCTCGTAGTATAACTGTCGAACTCGAAGCCTCGAATTGAAGGAATCATCCCTCCACCACCATCATCCGATTGATTGGAGATTTTCTTCGCTTGTTTTGCTTTTCACATATCAATTTTTTGCTTAGAGATAGCAGTGAACCGGGGAAAAATAGGTATTCGTCCAAACCCGTTTCGTTTGGACCAGGGATGGACTATACATATTGGACAGTGAACGTATATGGAGATACTCGTATAAACCCGTGCGGGGATGGACTTACCCTTACCCCCGCCCCATCCCCGTTTTACTCGTTAAAAAAAATATTTATATATATATTAATTCTCTCAGTGTATGAGCATTATTCGATTAATCGGTGCATGATCTTTTATTTATTCCCAATTTCTCATTGGCTACCTCCAATAGGTACATCTCTCGCTTTGCTTTTTAATATAGACTACATTGTAGACTAACTTAGTGAATTAGATGATGATACTTGATAATGCATATGAAGTTTAGGGCATTGCTTAGTTATCAATTTCAAAAATTACTCAATTGGGAATTTTGAAGATGATGAAATGGGGGTTTTAATCTGTTTGATTGAGAGTTGGGTGGAGGTGAAATCTTCCTGCCTAATTGTGTATGGTTCTTATTAAGTTATGACTTAATTGTTATTGATTTATCTATTTGATTGGANATCGGTGCATGAGCTTTGATTTATTCCCAATTTCTCATTGGCTACCTCCAATAGGTACATCTCTCGCTTTGCTTTTTAATATAGACTACATTGTAGACTAACTTAGTGAATTAGATGATGATACTTGATAATGCATATGAAGTTTAGGGCATTGCTTAGTTATCAATTTCAAAAATTACTCAATTGGGAATTTTGAAGATGATGAAATGGGGGTTTTAATCTGTTTGATTGAGAGTTGGGTGGAGGTGAAATCTTCCTACCTAATTGTGTATGGTTCTTATTAAGTTATGACTTAATTGTTATTGATTTATCTATTTGATTGGAAATTCATTTGGTGATTTTGGGGTTTTTATTTGATCTAAAATATATTAAGCATACTATTTTTATAATTTTTGTGATTTTTAGCATATTTATTTTTATTATTAAATTTTATTTATTTTTTTATTATCTTACCGGTTCAACCAGTGACTCACTAACCCGGTCCCTTTTTTGGTTTGATGTTCGGGCCGGGTTTTAAAACTATGATTGAAATGTTGTGGGGGGTAATATGGTCCAAAGAAATGACTTACCCCTTTATATGAGAAAATATTTGATGGTGACACCAAGGTGATATTAGTATTACCGACCAATTGTGACTTAGCAACAAACAAATTAGTGAATTTTATAGTAAACTATATATATAATAAATGAGCTTACAATTCAAATTTCAAAAGATAAATAAAATGACTTACTTTTCACAGTTCAAATCGCTTTAAATTTTATTTTAAAGTTAATCTAACGACTAATATTAACACCCTAAATTTAATAGAAAAAATAGTCCTCTAATAATGTTTTTTTGGAGTAACTTTTTAAAAGTATTTTTAAGAANGACCAGTGACTCACTAACCTGGTCCCTTTTCTGGGTTGATGTTCGAGCCGGGTTTTAAAACTATGATTGAAATGTTGTGGGGGGTAAAATGGTCCAAAGAAATGACTTACCCCTTTATATGAGAAAATATTTGATGGTGACACCAAGGTGATATTAGTATTACCGACCAATTGTGACTTAGCAACAAACAAATTAGTGAATTTTATAGTAAACTATATATATAATAAATGAGCTTACAATTCAAATTTCAAAAGATAAATAAAATGACTTACTTTTCACAGTTCNAAGTAAATTATATATATAATAAATGAGCTTACAATTCAAAATTCAAAAGATAAATAAAATGACTTACTTTTCACAGTTCAAATCGCTTTAAATTTTACTTTAAAGTTAATCTAACGACTAATATTAACACCCTAAATTTAATAAAAAAAATAGTCATCTAATAATGTTTTTTTGGAGTAACTTTTTAAAAGTATTTTTAAGAATTATTTTTCATAAATACTTAAAAAAAAAATAGTGTTTGAAACCGTCTCACCATTACCTCTACTCTACCACCACCACCANTCATCTAATAATGTTTTTTTGGAGTAACTTTTTAAAAGTACTTCTAAGAATTATTTTTCATAAATACTTTAAAAAAAATAGTGTTTGAAACCGTCTCACCATTACCTCTACTCTACCACCACCACCACCACCCTCAACCACCATTGTCTTTACCACTGTCATCACCACCACCACTGTCTCTACCACCGCCACCATTGCTGCAACCACCACGGCTGCCGTTGCCACCACTATCACCACCGCCACCACCACCACTGTCGTCGCCACCGTCGTCGTTACTGCCACCACCGCCACCATCGTCGTCGCCGCCACCACGGTCATTGTAACCCACCACAACCATTACTATCTCATACCACCAACACTGCCGCCCACCACCTCTCACCCCCACTACAAGTCTATAATCGATGCTTAAATTTATTTATCTCTCCTCTATGTTTGTGATTTGATTTTGAATATGAATACAAATAGATTTATTGTTTATCATTTTTTATTACTTTGTACTTTCAGGCACAAAGAATAATTTGTCTATCTATATAATGAAGTAGCTTACAATTCAAATCTCAAAAGATAAACAAAATAACTTTTACTATTCACGGTTGAAATCGCTATAAATTTTATTTTAAAGTTAATCTAACGGCTAATATTAACACCCTAAATTTAGTAAGAAAAATAGGGCCCTAAAGATGTGTTTGGAGTGATTTTTTAAAAGTACTTTTAAAATTTTTTTCTCATAAATATTTTTAAAAAATAGTATTTAAAGCCGCCCCACCACTACCTTTACCACCACCACCACCACCACCGCCACCGCCACTGCCACCTCCGCCACCAGTATCGTCGCCGCTACTACCACCGTCGTCATCGTCGTCGCCACCACAACCGCTGCCACCACGATCGTTGTCGCCCCCACCGCCACCACTGTCATCACTGCAGCCACAAACACCACCACCATCTTCATCATTCGCCACTACCGCCGCTGCTACCACCACTGTCATCATCACAGCCACCACCATCGTCATCGTCACCCCTACTGCCACTATCACCACCGTCGTCGCAGCCATTACCACCACCGCCATCGCAGTTCCCACCACCACCGTCGTCGTCACCACCACCGTTGTCGTCGTTGCCGCCGCCCTCGCCGCCACCACCACCACTGTCGCCCACCACCTCTCACCCTTATTACAAATCAATACTTAAATTCTTTTATCTCTTCTTTATGCTTGTAATTTGATTTTGGATATGAATACAAATATGTTTATTGTTTATCATTTTTTATTACTTTGTATCTTTAAGCACATGCAATAACTAGTATAGAATAAAATGCAATACAATTCAAATCTTAAAAGATAAACAAAATGACTTTTACTTTTCGCGATTGAGATCTCTCTAAATTTTACATTAAAGTTAATCCGACTGTTAATATTAACACTCCAAAAAGAGTGTTTGGGACAACTCTTTAAAAGTATTTGGGACAACTCTTTAAAAGTGTTTATAGAACTTATAACTTCTCATAAGTATAAAAAAAAAAAATTGTGTTTGAAACTGCCCCACTACTACCACTACCCTCACCACCACCATTATCACCACTCCATCGCTCTACTATCACCACCTCTTCCACAACAACTACTACCATCGCCGCCACCATCACCATCCCCACACCACCACCACCGTTGCAACCACCCCCACGTTCATCATCACCACCATTGCCACCATCACAATTGGGCGTCGTTACCCATCACAACCATCACCATCTCCCACCACCACCACTGTTGTCACCCATCGTTTCGCCCCACTACAACTAGTACTTAAATTTCTTTTTCTCTCATATTTTTTTTATAATTTGATTTTGAGCGTGAATACAAATATGTTTATTGTGGACCATTTTTTTTTAATTATTTCGTGCCTTTAGGCACAAGAAATAACTAGTAATATGTAATAAAGTACAATACAATTTAAATTTTAAAAGATAAACAAAATGATTTTTGCTATTCGAGGTTGAAATCTCATTAAATTTTATTTTAAAGTTAATCTGACGGCTAATATTAACACCCTAAATTTAATAGAAAAAATAGGCTCCTAAGGGTGTGTTTGAAGTAATCTTTTAAAAGTACTTCTAAAATTTATTTCTTATAAGTACTTAAAAAAAAAAGGTAGTGTTTGAAACCGTCCCACCACCACCGCCACTACCGCCGCCACCACCACTACCACTATCGCCACCCAGGCACACCCACCGCCCCACCATCACCACCACCACCACTATCACAACTGCTCCACCACCATCGCCATTATCTCACTATTACCCCTACCACACTCATCACCCCTATGACCATCACAATTACCATCACCCCCACCATTGCCACTGCTACCAACCCACCATCGTTGCCGTCGTCACCACTGTCATCGTTGTCATTTCCCCATCGCCACCAGCACCATCATCGCCACCCACCACTAATTGTTACCACTATCAACACCCACCACCATCATTGTTGTTTATCGTCACTCACTACCACAACCCACCAGCACCCGTCATTGCCCACCAGTCACTGTCACCTATCTCCACCACACCTACCACCATTCGTCATCATCCACCACTACAGTCACCCACTGTCACCCACCCCCACCATACTTACCATCATCACCGCTGTTGTCATTTGCTACCACCTATCACACTGTCGCCTAAAAACATCTATTGTCGGCCACCACACAATCGTCATCGCCCATCACTACCATTGCCAACTATCATCATCGTCATCCACCACCATCGTTGTTGTCACCCACAACTGTCACTACCATTATCATCACCCAAAATTCACTACCACCATCACCATTGTCACCCATGACTGTTATTACCACCACGTTCGTCGCCACCCATTACAACCATCACTGTCTCCCACCGTCACCGTTACTGTCCACCACCACTACCACCGCTTACCCCCATTACAATCAGTGCTTAAATTCTTTTCTTTCTCATCAATGTTTGTGATTTGATTTTAGGTGTAAATAAAAATATGTTTATTATTGACCATTTTTTTTATTATTTCGTACCTTCAGGCAGGGAGAATAATTAGTATACATATATGACCTTTAAATTATGATATTTGTGTCAATTAAACCCTCAACCTTTTTTTATATCAATTGAACATTTAAACTCTCTAATTGCGTCAATCAAATCCTTATGTCTGCCTCTGTTAGAGTATATCACTCACGTGACTATATGGCACAAAAGACAAAATGACATAATTGACACAATTAGAGAATTTAGAGACTCAATTGACACACACAGAAAAAAGTTCATGGNCTATATGGCACAAATGACAAAATGACATAATTGACACAATTAGAGAATTTAGAGACTCAATTGACACACACAGAAAAAAGTTCATGGACTTAATTGATACAAGAGTCATATGTATAGTTTACTCTAACCATTTGTGTCAAGTGAGTGGCACACTTCACCACTTTCTATTAGAAAATCTAACTAAGGCAGATAGAAAGATTCAATTGACACAATTAGAGAGTTCAGAAGTTCAATTGAAAAAAAGAAAATGGTGTTTAATTGACACAATTATAGTTTAAAAATCATATGTGTAGTTTACTTTCAATTTTATAACCATCAACAAGGTTTACATTTAATAATTATTACGTAGAATTAGTAGAATTTGCTAACCTATTTATTTGTTTGTTATTAATCGAAAATGTCAATTTTTTTATGGTTAAAAGAAGGGATAGGAACAAAAGAGAGCGTTTAGAAACCATCTCGATAGGGGTGAGAGTAAAGAGAGCGCTCAAAGACTACCTCGATAGACCCTTACCGATGAGATCATGATGTCGTTGACTGCGCTCGTTGCTTCTCTCAGAAACAAATCTAGGTAGGTTAACATAACAATCAATTATCAAATCCCAACGTGAACTACAAGACTCAAATTTTTAACCTCAATATGAGAAGTTCAACCAGTACCTCACTAAACCACCCTACTTAGTGGTGAAAATGTTGTGTTTATTAGTTTGTTTGTTTGTTAATGACTCATAATTAGGTTTGTTAATCATGTGAGACAAAATAGATTCGTGTTGGGCTTTAAAAGAATTATTTTTGTAAAATATTTTATTCATATTCGATTCGTTTATTAATTCGTATTTAACGAATCGTGTCATATCGAATTTATGCCATGTATAAATCGCGTATAACTAGTATAAATGAGTCGTCTCATATATTCCTTTTGATTAATTTCACTTACACCTAATTTATTTTTTAATCGAATTGTGTTGGATCCACTTATTTATAAAACGAGTGATTTAAAAAAAATTCAAACTCGCTAATTTTATATCACATTAATAGATAATCTGATATTTTGACACCCTTATTAATAGTAGCGGTGATGTCATAATATCACGTGAAATTTGAATATTTACTTCCTTTCAAGGCCGGTGATTGTTGCAGGCGAAAGGGTTTGAGAGGCCCAAATTAATGACCACAAAAGGTATGCCGATGGGTAATCTGTGACAACGTAATCACACTTCACGCCTCTAACTTCAGGCCATATCCATTAGTTTTTCTTCAAGGTCCATTTCACCATCAAGAGTAGACCCGACAATAAATCGTATCATTTTCGATTTGGATCTTTTTAGTTGATAGTGATAGTTTTTAATCGATTGTTCGAATTCGAATCTAACATTTAATTCAATTCAATCGATTATCATAAATCACAGATTTGATTGATTGCATCTCGAGCCAGGATTTGTTTAGATTTACTAAATATATTTACTCATACAAATATATTTCCATACACTCAAATTAACAACCTTATTTTTTTATAATCTTTTACATTGCAGATTAGTATGACACATACATATCACTCTTTATCAGAAGACTATATGAGTAATATTGTGCAAGTCGACGGTAACCTGCTACATAACATCAAATAGCTAGCACAAGCTGAGGCAACGAACGACTTGTCCCCTCCGGCTCACCACTTTGCCACAGCTTGAGGCTCTGGCTCCCATCCTCCGAATCATGAACGAGAACAGTGAGCCATGTGTTGAAATACTCGCGAAATCGAGTTATTTTGTCATCCCTGAGAGTCCACACATGAACCCAATATGCTTTCGATCCTTCCCATCCTTCTGCAATCACAAGTGTTTCACCCACGGATTTGATCGTCCGAGGCCTGAACTTGAACTCGGCGTGGCTTGACTTCCCGGTGAGCGTACGCATCATGTGTTGGCAATGAGGAGGGCCGTGGTACCACCATTCAAGATCAGAAGCCAGCAGTGGAGCGACAGTCTCAACGTCACGACGTGCTAACGACTTGTAAAGCACTTTGATGAGCTTCTTATTTCTCGATTCGAAGTCCGGTGCCGGTGAGTGGTGGAGATGAATGCCCATTAACCAGGGAAGGTTGTGTTTACTAGGGAAGGCCACTACCAAGACTATTAGGTGAATGGTTGTGCATGGAAAGAACCAGTGAGGGCACTTTATATAGAATATGTTACTTGGGATGAACCCATGCATTACAGGTCATAGGACAAAAGATAGAGCAAAATATACATTTAGTCTTTTAGTCTTCAATTTTTTAATTGTCTTTTTTATCCCTAAGATATTAATTTGAATTTACGTAGTCCAATTTCAAACGTCCGTAAAAAAATCGTTGACGTCTCTCATCACGCACCAATCACTTGAGACCAAATAGACAAAGATTAGAAATTTTAAGGACTAAATAGATAAATTAAGAATTTTAGGAACTAAATAGATACAAAATTTTGAACTACCTGATTGACACGTGACCATAATCATTATTATTTTTTGACAGACATTTGAAATTAGACCACATATATATAAATTAAGAACTTTAGAGACCAAATAAACACAATTGAAAGATTGAAGACTGAAGAGACATTTAATGCATACTTTAGAGACTAAAAATATATTTTACCCTAAAAGATAATAGGAGACGTTGTCTAGTTCTTATTTTATTGGGCACGCACGCCGACATTAGACAATGCAATGACCTTGCGGTATCTAAGTTACCCGTTGTATTTAAATTGTGTTATGTTAAGATTTATTAAATTCATGTTTGACTTGACTAATTTACGACCATGTATGTATAATTGATATGTGTTCTGCTTGATTCGTGTAATTATAAGTCATATTTAACTAAACCTATATCNTAAATTAAGAATTTTAGGAACTAAATAGATACAAAATTTTGAACTACCTGATTGACACGTGACCAGAATCATCATTATTTTTTGACAGACTTTTGAAATTAGACCACGTATATATAAATTAAGAACCTTAGAGACCAAATAAACACAATTGAAAGATTGAAGACTGAAGAGATATTTAATGCATATTTTAGAGACTAAAAATATATTTTACCCTAAAAGATAATAGGAGACGTTGTCTAGTTCTTATTTTATTGGGCACGCACGCCGACATTAGACAATGCAATGACCTTGCGGTATCTAAGTTACCCGTTGTATTTAAATTGTGTTATGTTAAGATTTATTAAATTCATGTTTGACTTGACTAATTTACGACCATGTATGTATAATTGATATGTGTTCTGCTTGATTCGTGTAATTATAAGTCATATTTAACTAAACCTATATCATATTTAATCAAGTTTATAACAGATCCATTTATTTTGGAACCATGCTTTACAGGTCATGAGACAGATACTTGGTGATGCCTGAGTTGTTATTTATAGTGAGCATGCTGGCATGATCAAGGGAGCAAGACTTTTGCTGCCTATGCTGAAAGTATTAGTTAATTTGCCATGGGCAGTGCAACTAAGTATAGAATAGACTAAAAGAAATGCTGATCTAGGGACAATATGGTTTCGACCCTAGCACAAGACAAAATATGTATTGAAGTCAAAATGATTCTAGCGTTAGTTGTTTTGAAAATAATAATGAAGAGGGTGGTCAGCAAAATAAAAAGGTGGGTAAGATCATGAAAACCTAGTTTTTCTTAAAGAAATGATTTGTTATTTGAAAAGTAAAAAATATTATTTAAACTCAATTTATTAATTTTATGTATTATAGTCATTAAATTAGTAACGGATTCTAACTAATTATGAGGTTCATTATCAATTTAATGATAAAAAGTGATTAAATTAGTAAATAATCGTTGAAGGTTCGATTCCCATCCCCTCTCCATCCTCTTTAGTGGTAAAAAAAAAAGTTTTATCTTTAAATTTAATGACATACATGGAAGCGAGATGCCATCAAATTATGGCATCCAACTCCTTGGACCTTTGTACCATTACAAAATGCTCAAGAATATTTTTTTTTATTCAACAATAAGAGATATTTAAGTTAATTTATTATCATTTCAACTAATCCTCTTTCTTATAAGACTGCCGTTAGATTTGGTCATAAGGAGCCTGCCTAACCAAAAAAATGTTTGGACCTAAAAGCACTTTGCCCAAGAACTTTACGTCGGCCCTTCTGTGTAGTAGACATGGACTTGAGATAATAAATGGACAGAATGCACTTAGCCCCAGTTCTTTGCAGGGCCCAATAAAATGTGCAGTAGACTCCCTTGCAATCATGAATTCACACCTTTATTTTTACAGTTTTATTTATCTATGTCGATAGTATATATTATTCATGAAGAATAAATCACTTATATTTTGATTTTAAAAAATTATTAAAATTTAAATTCAAGATGTCTGAGTTTACGGTTCGTTCTCATTACCACTCAAACTATTCTTGAGGTTCCAATACAAGATTTGATGCACCCAATTGTACTCTTCCTTATGGGCCACCTTTCTATTATGTAAACGTTGATAAAGTTTGATAATTTACATTATTTACACCTTGCCATCTTCTTGATTGGAACAAGTAGAAGAAAGATAAAACCTAAAAATCTTTTGTCGAGGTACATAGGAAGAAAAATAGGAGAAAAAATAGCTATTTATCCTCTTACATTTGGCGATCATGGGTGTTGTCCTGTTATACTTATACCATGCAAAGAGTATATCAATATTTTCTTAGATAAAAGAATCCTCGTAGTAAAACTTTCAAAGTTATGTTACGGGTCCGTGAATAATNTGTATGTATAATTGATATGTGTTCTGCTTGATTCGTGTAATTATAAGTCATATTTAACTAAACCTATATCATATTTAATCAAGTTTATAACAGATCCATTTATTTTGGAACCATGCTTTACAGGTCATGAGACAGATACTTGGTGATGCCTGAGTTGTTATTTATAGTGAGCATGCTGGCATGATCAAGGGAGCAAGACTTTTGCTGCCTATGCTGAAAGTATTAGTTAATTTGCCATGGGCAGTGCAACTAAGTATAGAATAGACTAAAAGAAATGCTGATCTAGGGACAATATGGTTTCGACCCTAGCACAAGACAAAATATGTATTGAAGTCAAAATGATTCTAGCGTTAGTTGTTTTGAAAATAATAATGAAGAGGGTGGTCAGCAAAATAAAAAGGTGGGTAAGATCATGAAAACCTAGTTTTTCTTAAAGAAATGATTTGTTATTTGAAAAGTAAAAAATATTATTTAAACTCAATTTATTAATTTTATGTATTATAGTCATTAAATTAGTAACGGATTCTAACTAATTATGAGGTTCATTATCAATTTAATGATAAAAAGTGATTAAATTAGTAAATAATCGTTGAAGGTTCGATTCCCATCCCCTCTCCATCCTCTTTAGTGGTAAAAAAAAAAGTTTTATCTTTAAATTTAATGACATACATGGAAGCGAGATGCCATCAAATTATGGCATCCAACTCCTTGGACCTTTGTACCATTACAAAATGCTCAAGAATATTTTTTTTTATTCAACAATAAGAGATATTTAAGTTAATTTATTATCATTTCAACTAATCCTCTTTCTTATAAGACTGCCGTTAGATTTGGTCATAAGGAGCCTGCCTAACCAAAAAAATGTTTGGACCTAAAAGCACTTTGCCCAAGAACTTTACGTCGGCCCTTCTGTGTAGTAGACATGGACTTGAGATAATAAATGGACAGAATGCACTTAGCCCCAGTTCTTTGCAGGGCCCAATAAAATGTGCAGTAGACTCCCTTGCAATCATGAATTCACACCTTTATTTTTACAGTTTTATTTATCTATGTCGATAGTATATATTATTCATGAAGAATAAATCACTTATATTTTGATTTTAAAAAATTATTAAAATTTAAATTCAAGATGTCTGAGTTTACGGTTCGTTCTCATTACCACTCAAACTATTCTTGAGGTTCCAATACAAGATTTGATGCACCCAATTGTACTCTTCCTTATGGGCCACCTTTCTATTATGTAAACGTTGATAAAGTTTGATAATTTACATTATTTACACCTTGCCATCTTCTTGATTGGAACAAGTAGAAGAAAGATAAAACCTAAAAATCTTTTGTCGAGGTACATAGGAAGAAAAATAGGAGAAAAAATAGCTATTTATCCTCTTACATTTGGCGATCATGGGTGTTGTCCTGTTATACTTATACCATGCAAAGAGTATATCAATATTTTCTTAGATAAAAGAATCCTCGTAGTAAAACTTTCAAAGTTATGTTACGGGTCCGTGAATAATACGTAATTTGTTTTAGAATAATATTATAATTTATTTTTTATTATATAGAAATGTATTATTCTTCATTTTATATCCTCGATTGCCTCGTGGCCCAATCAATTTTGATACCCTCATTTGTTGGCATTGGAGGAGGGGATTTGATGTTACTAGTTGACTTAATGATCATTGTCCCCGTTGTTAGGATTTAAAGTCTTGAGTTCAAATACGGACTAAAAATAAAAGAGAGGAGGGACAACTTAAGCCCAAAAAAAAAAAATACTTGAGGCCCATTAGGTCCAGGAAATATTCAAGAACAAGACAATGAAGGCCCACTACTACAAATAGCTCAGTACTACGCCACCCCGATCCACGAATCATCGATTGATTAGGGCTCAGACCGAATCGTCTCTGTCTCTGTCTCTGTCTCTGTCTCTCTCGGAGGTGTTAAGCGACGATGCTTACCGGGGATATACCGCCTAATCAGACTATATACATAAAGAACCTCAATGAGAAGGTCAAGAAAGAAGGTAATCATTTTCTTTGTAATTCTTGCAGTGATTTATTTGTAGGAAGTTCTGCGTTTATCTTTTCAAAATTTGAGTTTCTCTTAAAAGTGAACTTTTCGTTTGATTTCTACATTGGCGGAGCCATGGTTTCTGCTTCTAATGTTGAGATCATATTGTCCCGATAAATACAATGCAAGAAAGCTCTGAAGCAGAATGAATGACAGAAGGCAAATGATTAATAAAAGCACCAAGTGAGAATTAAGAAAAAGGCAATGGAAGTATGCCACATCCTAATGTTGCGGAAGATACTCATCTATTTAATTCCACTT